CTTTTGTCTCATCTGTGGTTGACAGCTTGGCGTGGCAAAGAACTCTATGCTCAAATTCATTTTCTCCCAGAACTCTGAAAGTCTCTCTTCCACTGTCACATAATGTCTGGTGCTAGATATGAAACTGTTGATGCCAGTTTCATTATTTTTGAGACAGGGTTTCACTCTGTCACCCAGACAAGAATGCAGTGGTGTGATCATAGCTCACTGCAGCCTCCAACTCTTGGGCTCAAGTGGTTCTCCTTCCTCAGCCTCCTGAGCAGCTGGGACTACAGACGAGCACCACCACGCCTGGCTAATTTTTAAACATTTTTCTGTCGACACAGGGTCTTACTATGTTGCCCAGGCTGGCCTCCCAACTCCTGGCCTCAAGTGATCCTCCCACCTTGGCCTCCCAAAGTGCTGGGACTGCACCTGGCCCATTTCAATTTTTTATTAATAGATACAACTCTTCTAATTAGTGGATACTAATTTTTTAAAGTTCTTGTCTGTCCTCGGAATCATTTTTGTTTCTTTTGAGACCTCTACTTTTGTTTTTGCAGCCATATTTAACAATGAGGGAACGAGAAGGCTCACCAGGCTTCACTCAGAGTAGGATGAAGGTCTCAGTTCCGTCTGGGAGACAGAAATGCCAGAATGAGCAGGACCTCATTCTCAGGGGCAGACATCCACGTTAGCCACTCGGGGTCTCTTCAGACTGTTTCCTTTCTTTAAACAGACCCTCACTTGTCACCCAGGGATGGATGCTCAGCCGCAGGCCTATCTGTGTAAGGATGGGGGAAGGGGAGGCTGACTGGCCTCTCTGCCATACTTCACTTCACTTCCCCACCTTTCCAGGCCAGTCCCCACACTCTGACAACTCAGGTGACCCCTCCTCCAAGTCAGGAGCTTCTCTGGGCTTCCGCAGGGCTGTGGGTCCTTTGCCTTAGCACAGGGTTGCCACTCGTATTCCAGGCCTGTTTCGGCACCGCCCTCCATCAGGCGTGGCTGACAAATCCCGTCTACCTTCCAGAGAGGGACAGGACTCCCTCATCCTGACACACCCCGCTCCTTCCTGTTCCCCAACAGCATCATTTCTGAGCCTTTATGAATGAAAACTTCTCCGCAGCCTCAGGCAGGAAAGAAGAGAAGCACATACACATGCTCGTCTTCTTTCTTGAACCAAAAACTGCCTTTAATTAGAAACACAACCTGAGTACATATCCTTACAAGATGATGTCCTGACAGAAACAAATACGATCCTTATGGAATTAGCAAGCCTATAGCCTTAAAATCAGAGCAAAAGCAACATGCACAGACACGTGGCCACGGCCCCCATCTGGAGCCATTTCGAGAACAGGCAGCACCAACCTCTGACAGCCTTTGGTTTGAGAGCACGTGGGACTTCACACATTTATGAATCACCATCTTAAACAGTTCCTCTTTCACTAATAACAAAACTGTTTAAAAGGAGCTGAAAATAAACTTATTACTCTAGAAGAACACCCATTTTGAGTTTTACCATAATCAGAACTTCCAACATCTTTTCCAAGAAACATTTAAGAGGTTTGCATACGCACTCGTGTACACATGCAAGAAAGATCGACTTCAGTATTAATCAGTAACGCTGGAGGGAAAAAAGTTGTTACCTTATAAACAATTAAATGGAGCTCTTCATAAGCGTCATGTGTATTTACAAAAATTTTGGGGAATCTGCATTTTGCATCTGGATCATTAAGGTTCAAGGGTCCGGTAAGAAATCTTAAAAGCAAGAACAGACATGGCGTGATTCAATGAGGTGAATTAGAATCAGGAATCTAGAAACAGAACACATCCCTGCTTAATATTCACCAGTTGCTTTCGGTGCCAGGTGCTATTTGGATAACACCATATCAGAATATGCTGGCCGGGCATGGTGGCTCACGCCTATAACCCCAGCACTTTGCGAGGCCGAGGTGGGTGGATCACCTGAAGTCAGGAGTTCAAGAGCAGCCTGGCCAACATGGCAAAACGTCGTCTCTACTAAAAATACAAAAATTAGCTCGGCGTGGTGGTGGGCACCTGCAATCCCAGCCACTCGAGAGGCTGAGGCAGGGGAATTGCTTGAACCCGGGAGGCGGAGGCTGTAGTGAGCTGAGGTCGTGCCACTGCACTCCACACTCCAGCCTGGGCGACAGACACTCCATCTCAAAAACAAACAAAAAAAAAAAGGCGGGGTATGCTAAAGTAAGTTTTAACTCATTGGAAACATAAACTTTCCTTTGTTGATTACTGTCAATCAGATGGCACAAAGATATTTCAACGTCCATATTATCTTTACCAAAAAGATAACAGGCCAGGCACGGTGGCTCACACCTGTAATCCCAGCACTTTGGGAGGCCAAGGTAGGTAGATCACTTGAAGTCAGGAGTTCAAGACCAGCCAGGCCAACATGATGAAACCATGTCTCTACTAAAAACACAAAATGAATTAGCCAGGCATAGTGGCTTGTGCCTGTAGTTCCAGCTACTGGGGAGGCTGAGGCATGAGAATCGCTTCAGCCTGGGAGGCAGAGGTTGCAGTGAGCCGAGATCTTGCCACTGCACTCCAGGCTGGGTAACACAGCCAGACTCTGAGTCAAGAAAACAAGAAAGGAAAAGGAAGAAAGAAAACCCAGTATCTTAAATCAAAGAACAGAAGTCCTACCTTCCATAGTGCTGAAGATTTCCTGGCATTTCTGCTCTTATTGGAGAATCCCTTCCTGCTAACTGCAAATAAATTTAATGTTGAGAATGACTTATCAGACTTTTTATTTATTTTCCAAGCTTTGAAAAACAGCATTCATTATCTACTAGTTGGTTCCATACTATTTGTCTTTTTCTTTTAGAGACAGGATCTTGTTCTGTTGTCCAGGCTGGAATGCAGTGCGGCATGATAATGACTCACTGTAGCCTTGAACTCCTGAGCTCAACCAGTCCTCCCACCTCAGCCTCCTGATATAGGCATGTGTGACCACACCCGGCTAGGTTTTCAATTTTTGGCCAGGTGAGGTGGCTCATGCCTATAATCCCAGCACTTTGGGAGGCCGAGGCAGGCAGATTACTTGAACCCAGGAGTTTGAGACCAGACAAGTCAACGCAATGAGACCTCGTCTCTAAAAAAAAAAAAAAAAAGAGGGAGGACAAGAGGGAGGGAACGAACAAGCGGAGAGAGAGAGTTCAGCTGAGCCCAATGATTTTTGTGTGTTAAGCTCTGAAAATACTTTCGGGAGAACACAGTGATATCATTTACAAGTTCTCTGGGAAAACCGGGAAATTCAGTATTAGAGTGGAAAGCCAGGTCGGCACTAAAACATCTACTGAAAATTAGGTCTCATGTTGATAGAGGAGAAGACGACACAGGTCGACTGTTTTAAAGATCACTGGCATTTTAAAGGTTCCTAGAACCCGATCCAAAATCCAATTTTTCAGCCAGGAGCGGCAGCTCACGCCTGTAATCACAGCAGTTTGGGAGGCTGAGGAGGGTGAATCACCTGAGATCAGGAGTTCGAGACCAGCCTGGCCAACATGGTGGAACCCCATCTCTACTAAAAATACAAAAATTAGCTGGGCATGGTGGCAGACACCTGTAATCTCAGCTACTTGGGAGCCTAAGGCAGGAGAATTGTTTGAATCCAGGAGGTGGAGTTGCAGTGAGCGGAGATTGCATCATTGCACTCCAGCCTAGGCGACAAGAACAAAACTCTGTCTCAATAAATAAATAAAATATATAAATTAAAAGTAAAATAAAATCCAATTTTTCCTCTACTCAATGACTCACTCCTCTTAAAAACATGCTTTCTGGACTGGGGGTGGTGGCTAATGCCTGTAATCCCAGCACTTTGGGAGGCCAAGGTGGGCAGACCAAGAGGTCAGGAGTTCAAGACCAGCCTGGCCAACATAGTGAAACCCGTCTCTACTAAAAATACAAAAAAATTAGCTGGGCGTGTTGGCGGGCGCCTGTAAATCCCAGCTACTTGTGAGGCCGAGGCAAGGAGAGTCGCTTGAACCTCTCCATCCCGGGCAAAAGTTTGAGACTCCGTCTCAAAAAAAAACCAAAAACACACAAAAAACCAACGCACCCACACAAAAAGATGCTTTCTGTATCACATCTGAATGTCACACACTGGAGAGCTGCATGTGGTTTTCTGTGCTAACTGATACACGACGACATAAATATCACACTAAGACAAAATATACATCAGCAATGATCAGAAACGCTCTCACGCACCACCATCGCACTCCACCCGCCCTCTCTGTGCCTCTGGATGTAAGTGTGTGCAGCTACGGTCCCCATCGTACCTCAGGCTCCATGTGCCTTGGAAAAAGGGAGGTGGTGAGGTATTTGTATAAAATTCTCATGTCGTCTTGTTCTAATCCACTCCTGGAACATCAGAAAAGCACTGGGTTAAACGTTTTGGAATTGTCTTCCGTCTTTCCACTGCTGTGATAAAGCTCATTTAAAAAAATTTTTTTTTCAAGTCATTTTTAGTGACACAGAATAAATTCTAACTTTTTAAAGTCTAAAGCTACATAAAACTCAAAACAATCTATTTTTCTACCTGAGATCAAAATGAGTTTCCTTTTCCCTAACATAATTCTTAGCACTGAGGTAAATCTGAATTTACGTTGTATACTTTGTCAAACTTCTCCAAAAAATTTTCAGCTCTGGATAAAGCTCATTTTTTATTAAAAAAAAAATTTTTTTTTGAGACAACATCTTGCTCTGTCACCCAGGCCGGGTGCAGTGGTGTGATCACAGCTCACTGCAGCCTCAGCCTCCAGGGCTCAACTGGTCCTCCCATCTCAGCCTCCAGACTAGCTGGGACTACAGGCGTGCACCACCATGCCCAGCTAATTTTTCTACTTTATGTAGAGATGGGCGTCTTGCTATGTTGCCAGGTTAGTTTCGAACTCCTGGACTCAAGCAGTGCTCCTGCCTCAGCCTCCTAAAGTGCTGGGATTACATATGTGAGCCACTGTGCCTGGCCTCATCTTTTTTCAGTTTTCAAGAGATGAGTCTCGTCTGTTGCCCAGGCTGGATTACAGTGGTGTGACCACAGCTCGCTGCAGCCTCCGATTCCTAGGCTCAAGCGAACCTCCCACCTCAGTGTCCTGAGTAGCTGCGACTACCGGTGCTTTTTTCTTTAACATTATATCAAGAGGCTCACCTCCTGACTGCGAAGTTCAGGAAGGCAAAGAGTTAAACTGGAGTCCAGGCACTGGAACTTCATCCTGACCTGCAAAAGGCTACTCCTACGTAGTCTTGTATTTTACAAGCCATTTGAGATAAAAAGTCACAAGGGATCGGACTGGTTGAATTCCATGTAGGATTATGCAGGAAACCTCCAAAGCCACACTGTTTCATTTTAGCAGCAGATGTCTCTTAGCTTCCTGGGTTATACGGTAACCCCACATTCTCTCCCCTAGTCCCCCGGGAAAATATGGGTGTGCTGTAGACAGGGAACATGATCCTAGGTCTCAGAAAGGTACGTGGATTTTAATTCTCTGCATCTCGGTGTAGAAAAAGGAGAGGAGGAGAAAAACAAGCTTTCAGGCAAACCGTCTAATCTGAAATGAGGCAGGAAGGAGCAGCACGTGGAGAAAGCACGGAGAAACTAGCCGGCATCAGACTCTGGAATCAGTTTTTTAAAAGGAGAGAGACAGACAGACAGTGAGGCTGGATCTGGGGGTTTTCTATTCAAGATCACTGAAATATCCTGAAGGTGCCCAGGCGCGGTGGCTCACACCTGTAATCCCAGCAGGTTTTGGGAGGCCAAGGTGGGCAGATCACCTGAGGTCAGGAGTTCAACACCAGCCTGGCCAACATGGCGAAACACCGGCTCTACTAAAAAATACAAAATTTTGCTAGGACTGATAGCATGCGCCTCTAATCCCAGCTACTTGGGAGACTGAGGCATGAGAATCGCTTGAACCTGGGAGGCGGAGGTTGAAGTGAGCTGAGATCACGCCATGGCACTGTAGCCTGGGCGACCGAGCAAGTGAGACTCTGTGTCAAAAAAAAAAAAATCACAACAATATACTAAGTAAATACATAAGAGTAATATTTACTCTGCTTGTGACAAATTCTTTTATTTCCCCCTTTTTGGTGGAGACAGAGCCTCATTATATTGTCCAGGCTGGTCTCCAAGTAACTCCTGGCTCAAGCCATCCTTCTGCCTCCTCCTCCCCAGTAGCTGGGACCATAGGTATGTGCCACCGCACCTGGTTTAAAAGTCTTTCTTGGCATTTAAATGAGCAATTCCGTCAAAACGTGCTGTTTTTTTCTTAGGGTCTTGCTCTGTCACCCAGGCTGGAGTACAGTGGTGCTATCATAGCTCACTGCAACCTCAAACTTCCGGGCTCAAGTGATTCTCCGGCCTCAACCTCTGTAGTCTCTGTAGCTGGGACTGTTAAGTGCGCACCACAGTGCCCAGCTGATTTTTTTTTTTGCATTTTTTGTAGAGATACATTCTATGTTGCCCAGGCTGGTCTTGAACTCCTGGTGTCAGGTGATCCTCCTGCCTCAGCCTCCCAGAGTGCTGGGATGACAGGTGGAAGTGATCGCAACTGGAGTAACATGCTGTTTTTCTTGAAGGTTCTTTTTGTTGCTACTTCCTGGGACTGACCTCTCCCCCACGAGCACACTGGAGGTGACAACAGAACAGTTCTGTGCAGCCACCAGAGCTGTGCCCTGCTCTACCCCTCGGATGCTATTCCAAGATGACAATGCCAGCAGGATCCCTGGAGCTGGGCGCCAGATTGTCCTGTGACTCCAGGCTTCCAAGGGCCAACGCTGCTGGTCACTCTGGCTCCAGCGTCTCCCAGAATGAGCTCCTGGAGGACCCTCTGCTCTTTCGTTCTTCCTCACTCTCAGGAGGTTGCACCCACGGCAGGGCTTGTGTCCGTCCCAGAGATCAGAATCTCAGCTGCTCTTCTCTTTTCGGTGGAGACAAGGCCATGGGCCACTGCTGCTGGATTCCGGCTTCTCACACTACATCTCCCTATCACCGTGGATGCATGTCACTTGCAAGCACCTCCTGTCATTTTCATCTGGGGAGGAGCCACTCCCTCTGCAGACCTGATGCTACAGGAGCACAACTATCCTCCCATCTCCTACATTCCACGGCAGTATTTCACTTACTAACATCGTGTGCGTATCACAGAAAGCAACTACAGCAGAGTCAGTACAGTGGAAGGTTGCCCCATAAACAATTTGTCAAATTAAAAAATAGGTGGAGGCCGGGCACGGTGGCTCACGCCTGTAATCCCAGCACTTTGGGAGGCTGAGGCAGGCGGATCACTTGAGGTCAGGAGTTCGAGACCAGCATGGCGAACATGGTGAAACTCCATCTCCACAAAAAAATTAGCTGGGTGTTGTGGTACGCACCTGTAATCCCAGCTGCTCAGGAGGCTGAGGCAGAATTGCTTGAACCCAGGAGGCAGGGGTTGCAGCAAGCCAAGATCGATCATGCCACTGCACTCCAGCCTGGGCAACAGAAAGCGACTCCACCGCAAAAAAAACAAAAAAAAAAAGTAGATGGGTTTTCACCAGGAATTTGTGTTGTCTTCCTAGGAGATAACAAAGTTCATGTGGAAACCCACCAAGTTGTTTATTAACTGGATTCAAATTTCTTTACAGTAACTTGTTTCTCTCCTTAAAATGGAGCTACAAGATTTTGGCAAGGAAAGTAAATTTCAGGGGAACTAGTTTGGCCTTTTCTATTAGCTGACCTCACGTTATAGTAGTAAAATATGGCCACACCCCTAACTAAGAAACGGGGCTAGGCCAGGTGCGGAGGTTCACACCTGTAATCACGGCACTTTGGGTGGCCAATCCAGGCAAATCACCTGAGGTCAGGAGTGTAAGACCAGCCTGGCCAACATGGTGAAACCCTGCCTCTACTAAAAATACAAAACAGCTGAGCATGGTGGCACGTGCCTGTAATCCCAGCTACTCAGGAGACTGAGGCAGGAGAATCGCTTGAACCCAGGAGGTGGAGGTTGCAGTGAGCCAAGCAAGATCGTGCCATTGTACTCTGGCCTGGGCAAGAGAGTGAGACTCTGTCTCAAAAAAAAAAAAAAAAAAAAAGAAAGTGGGCTATAGTCAATGGGAATATAAAACCTGAGGGTCCTGGAACAGCTGCGGGAGGCCCGGCCACTCCCTGCTATGCCTCCACGGCTTCTGTCCACCTACTCTAGGCCAAAAGTGCGCGGCCTCGGTTGCCATCCAGCTCTCAGGGGTCACGTATGCTGGGCAGTCTTGTGACCACCTTGTTCCTACTGCAGGACACAAACAGTTTGACGATAGCAGGTAATTTCCTGGTTTGTATAACACTATGGATTTCTTGGATTAAAAAAAAAGAACTCTAGCTTCTTTAAAAGAAAGCAGGTGCACTGGCTCATGCCTGTAATCCCAGCGCTTTGGGAGGCTGAGGCGGGTGGATCGCTGAGGCCAGGAGCTTGAGACCAGCCTGACCAACACAATAAACCCTGTCTCTAAGAAAAGAAAAAGCTATAAAAATTCCGCTTCTCACATTCGTCATTTTGGAAAAAACTCCAAAAGAAAAATAGGATTCCTAAACCTTACTTGATAGGAACATTTTTTTTTTTGGAGACTGAGTCTCTCTCTGTTGCCAGGCTGGAGTGTAGTAGCGCCATCTTAGCTCACTGCAACCTCTGCCTCCCGGGTTCAAGAGATTCTCCTGCCTCAGCCTCCCGAGTAGCTGGGATTACAGGCATGAGCCACCACGCCTGGCTAATTTTTGTATTTTGAGTAGAGACGGGGTTTCCCCATGTTGGCCAGGCTAGTCTCAAACTCCTGACCTCAAGTGATCTGCCCGACTCGGCCTCCTAAAGAGCTAAGATTACAGGCGTGAGCTACTGCGCCCAGCCTTTCATCTTTCATGCAACCAGTTTTAAACTCCTCTGCTTGGAAATTTTAACCCAAATCACCCTAGTTCTGCTTTAAATAATC